GAGGGAGCGGAAGAGGGGGTGGGGGTGTCTGTCGGAGTAGACAGCAGCAGTGTTTTAACTTAGACATGTAGGGAAGGAGGGAGAGGGGCTGTTGGAGCAGACTGTTGTATAACTGGACATTAAGCTGACCTGTCCAGCTGTCATGTTGGTCATTTGTATCACAATGTCACCGGGTCAACGCCGGGTCAGTTGTAACCTCGAAATAACTTCGGGTCAACTTTTCGAATTCCAACTAGTTGTAATGTAATGTTGTGGTAACAAAATGAAGTGAAACAAAGCTTACCTTACACTCTACTGTACTATTGAACGGAGTTGAACACCCATACTCAATAAAGGGCTGCAATTATTGCCGTCGCCGTTATTTTCTCGCTTTAGAATTGACTGAAATATCTGAGATAGCCCGAATTTCTAACCTAGTTATGAGATTTTTGCCCGAAAACATACTTTCGGGGCTGCTCCGCCACTGGCCTTCGTGAAAAAATCATATATTTTATAAATTTCTATTTCTGATAATCATTACTGCTTATTATAGTGGTACTTATATATTGTTCTGTATCCAATTCGACTAATGGTGAGAATGGAAATATGCAATGAAATGAATATCCATCACCAATTGAAATCTAAAAAAACTAGGCTAATTTCCCTCTCCTGACAAAATCTCTATCATTTCTTCATGTAAAGTATGACAACTCATTTTCAAAAGTTTTTTTGTGTGGTTTTATGCCTTAAAAAGAAAACAGTGACGACACCAAACTGTCTTGTTATAGCAACGGTATACACATTGCTGTTCATTTCATGGCAATGTTCATTAGATATGATCTGAATGGAGTTTTACGTCTTTTTCTGCACTTAATTGGGTCAATGAAGACGGGCAATGAGGGAACGCCAAAACAGCAGCATTAACCTACACTTTCTCGATTTCCGACTGATTGAAATATGAGATAGAAAAACACAAGTTTTATATACATTATATACCTATAATGTTAGTGTAGGTCAATAAGATCCAGTATTTATTTAGACCTGGTTAAACATATACAGGGTTTGAATATATATACCAATAACCTTATTGAACACCAAACAAACTTCAACTCTCATAAAGGTATCTGATAAATATACAATATTATGCCTATGTGGACGCTCTACAAAGGAGTGCCTAGTTCACAAACCTAAATACCAAATGCATAATTATGTGAACTCTATAATGGTGTCACATAGACAAAGCTGTGTGGACGCTCTGTTAGGGATGTCAAGTGGAAAAACCCAATACCAAATACACAATATTATAGCTATGTGAACTCTCATAAAGGAGTGCCAAGTTAAAAAAAACCCGAATACCCAATGCACAATATGATAGCTATGTGGACTCTCTTCAAGGGATGCTTGGTTGACAAACCTAAACACCATAGCTATGTGGACTCTCTGTTAAGGATGTCAAGTGGAGAAACCCAATATTATTATGGTTGTGTGTACACTCTTCAAGGTGTGCCAAGTTCCTAAACCTAAATACCAAATATACAATATATGTGGACGCTTTTCAACAGGTGTCGAGTTGATTGGTATTGGCTATACACCATTATAGTATATGGGCTTTGCATAAGGGATGCCGAGTTAATCCAGAAGAGGTGGACTTGAATCTCAGCTGATTTAGAACAACTGCCTTCGTAATCGGCTATCTTCTTGATCATAACTATTTGGCGCCCATCGTGGATTTATGCTAAATAGTATGTTGTCAGAGATATATCCAAACGATCCCAACTACAGTGGTTTCTTTTGCAATTTGCTTTAGGTAAAAAATCATGGTTACCAAATGAAAAAGTTTAGGTTGCCCGGCGACCTTTAATAAGTTACCTTGTATCACACTCATTTCATCTTCGGGGCTAGAATGCTGCTAAATACAATGTTCACCTCACCGAATGGTTAAGGTTGAGCCGAATTCAAGTATCGTTGTTCCAGTCGATCCAGCTCTATATGGGTTAGTTGAGATTTTCTAAGGACAGGACAGGACAGGTGGTTTGGATTTCGGAAATTAAGTTTTTGAATAAATTTTCAATATTAGGACTTGATGTGTATGAAAATGAAATGTAATGCATGGTGTTTACGTCCTTCTTTTCTGTATCCGATTGAAGGGCAGCTGAAAGCAGTGTGCAAAGAGGGACATTTTTCTAGGACAACGGCATCAGCCTACCCTGTTTCAATTTCTAACGTGCCTGTAGCCCATGAGGCCTCACGAGACACTTCCTCCCATCAATTCATCCCTACCTCTCCCCGATCCCCCGGACCTACCCCCGACCTGATAGGTATACAAGAGGTCAATATGACGATCTATCAAAATCACCATTGAATCACATCTGTTCAATAGAAGACGGTCTATATGTCTCAATATTCCTTTGACCACAGATAAACAGTGAAACCAAACACTTTTCAAATACGACAACCATTGAAATACAAATTTATTTTAAAAGGGCTATACATGGAAGTTTCTGATATAGACCATATTTTACAATATGAGCTCAGATGCGCTGGTTCAATGTCTCAAGATTCATGGGGGCCCGTGGACTGGTTTGGGACCGTACCCCGGGAAATTCGTTTTTTAACACATGCTCTCCTTTTTTTCAAGGGTTGGGGTCCCATGGTTCAACCAGTTACTATCTTAGTTGAGCCACTGCGCTGTTCAATACTATTCATGAAAATATCGAAATATTGACCAGATTATGACGTCACGATCGCAAGTACTACTAAGCTGAAAGGCCTTGGTGTCCTAACTAGTATGCTGATGAAATGAGTCAGATGGTTACGTCGTGTTGTTCCAGAAGGCAGACCTGACCAAACTGACGAAATCCAAATACACCTGACCTTCATCCATTGAGATTGTTTGAAGTGGATCATATAATATTGATCAAAATCATAATAATATTTTATTTAAACTTGTTGAGGTCATAAGTCAAAAAATGAATAAGGAAAGGCTAAGGCAGTAACAATCAAGAATCGAGAATATTTGGTTCATTGAGGGTGGAAAAGCAAATGTCATAATAGAAAACTTGATGCAAAACTGGCAAGACAGAACAAACAGAATTCTTACTCAGAGACATGTTAACAATGTCGAGCTATTACAAACCTCGTCTTATACCTTGGCACATCTTCACAATGTCAAGCTATTACAAACCTCGTCTAATACCTTGACACATCTTTACAATGTCAAGCTATTACAAACCTCGTCTTATACCTTGGCACATCTTCACAATGTCAAGCTATTACAAACCTCGTCTTCTACTTTGACACATCTTCACAAGCTATTACAAACCTTGGTTGGTTGGTTGATAGATGACAAATTAAAGTTCGGTCCCAGCGGCCCCGAGGCCCACAATCGAAATTTTTTTCGTGAGATATGCCTTTTCATCGTAAAAATGTAAAAAAGTTATAGAATATTTTTTCAAATTGCATAACATGTAGGATTTAAGCCATTGTAGCCGCCACTGACATGAAATCAAACTGCCAAATAAGGGCATGATATATGTCTAAGCTGTCTAGGGGTGAATCTCAAGGATAGTGTAGAGTGGTAGAGCATGCTCGATATTTTATTAAAATATCCTTATAAGGACATAGTATCTGTCTAGAGTCAAACATGACGAAAGCTAGTCAACCTTGACCTGTCTTGTGACTAACACCGAAATTTTCCACTGGCCTATAAAGACCTTGTGAAATGAAATGAATGGAAATTAAAATCCTGCTTTTCTGAACATTAGTGGGTTAATGAAAACGGGCAACGCCATGCAGTGTGTAACGAGGAAATATTTGACAGGGCAGTCGTATTAGTCTATTAAGCAGCGTAGGCTATGCATCTGAACACCTGATACCATTTTTCATTATGAAATACTTACTCATTGTGAAAAGTTCATTAGTTGATACTAATGTTTCTCCAGTATGTTATTTCGATTTAGGGTTTTGTTTTGCGGGTTGGATCGTTAGTATGTGGCTTATTTATACTTCGATTTTCAACTATATAGGGTATGGATGGCTGTTGCGAGGAACGGTGAAATAAAACCAAACCATGCAGGCTGGTCCCAGAATACAGTGTGATAGGGTGTGATAGTTATCTGTCTAGCTAGAGTGACGAAGGGTAACCCACATAATAACATATCCATATAAGGAATATTTCTGTCTAGCTCGGGTGAAATCTGAGCTAAGGAAATATTTGTCTATCGTGTGAAAGCCTATATTATATCTAGTAGAGCTTGCTAGATCAATACGACCCTGAAAAATAAAAATACTTAATGGTTGATAGTCGAGAATTTCAATTTAGAAAAACACGCTGAGAACAAAACAGGATTCCATGAAAAACACCAAATTTATGAAAATAAAATCCTTGCATTATGCCCTATTTTAGACACAATAATTTGAATTTTGAATTTGACGATCTCTGGTTGTTTTGATGGAGTGTGGCTCCATAAATTTAGTTTCACCAAAAGGGCAATTTCCTTATTTAGAAGGAATAAAATGCTTATTATGTCATGTAGTTTTTGCAATTGATAGTGGTCTGAAAATATAAAACTATTTTAGTCATATCTATACAATTATTTTGACAATAAAGTCAAAATCAGTCTTGGTGAGTTTCTGGATACACTGAGCCCGTCGGTTAAAATTTGTTCAACTAATTAGAAAATCTGACCCTTAAATCATTAAAATTAGACCAAACTATCGTTCCGTTTTTTTTTTTTTTTTTTTTGATTTAGCCACTTCAGTAAGGCGACACCACCAGCCAATCAAAATCTTTCCCTCTTCAACGCTGGGATTTGGTGACGCGAACGAAGGTGTATTCTGAGAAGCATTAGACACTGCAGTGGCTATATTAAAAATTAGAAATAAAAAAAACGGTACGAAAGTTTGGTCTAATTTTAATAATAGTGACTATGTATTTGATTGCAGACCATCCTACTTTAACAAGAGAAATATTTATTTTTGGGTGAAAAAAAAACTGATGAAAGTAAGTCAAGCGTTACCTGCCTTGTGACGAGCTGTCATTTTCTATAAATAGATTATACTGTATATGGATCAACAATGATCTTCGGAATGTAAATACACCTCGAGTATAAATTCAAGAGCACTTTTTATCCTTGGCATAATTTCTATATTCGAAATATTAATATTAATACACTGTACAGGTAGGCCAGAACTTTTAACCTTTTTTCACTCTTCTTTTCTGTTTGTATGCAGACGAATTAGAGTTTATTCAACTTGTAAATTTTTTCTCTAACTATATTTTACAAATTACTGTAATTAAAATATTTGTATTCGATTTCTCCAACTTTTTTTTATTTTGCAAAAAAAAAGGACTCATTTTTTTAATTGAAGATTTGGCTTTTCGAAATATTAAAATAAGAGTATTTGATATCAATATGAAGCAGGCCATGCTTACTCTTTCCGAAACACTTGATGGTACTTCTCTATTCACAGTCCTCTACTATGCAACCTTTACTGTCTATTTTGCCATTCTTTGGATGATATTTTGATTCAGGGACTTGTCCAGCTTGTACGAATTTTTATTAAATTTTTCCGTTGATAGAGGATAAGTTGGGATTGCACATTGGACCACTAGATTTCAATATTTATGTTTAAAATTTATGAAATCCCCAAGTTTTCATCTACATCCTATTAAGATCGGTATCGAAATAAAGGGACACTGGTAGCAGCGTTTTTTGTGTCCCAGACAGAGGCGGAGGCCAGGTTAACGTCCTAAAGGGGGGGGGGGGGGGGGATTATCNTGTGATTGCCTGATTTTCTAACCTAGTTATGAGATTTTTGCCTTAAAAACTTTGGCTGCATGAATTTCTGACGATGTCATTTTGACCTACATTATGAAAAGAGCCAAGTAAAAAAGGGTGACCGCCAGGTTCGATATTTTATATTACTAATTTGAAGTAAATTTTCATGATCTGAGATTAATAAAGCTGGGAGGGTATAGGCCAGGGTTGCCTTTTGGGGTAGTTTAGATTTAATATTTATATATATGACTATTTAACTAGTTATCAATATGGTATCATTTGAAATGTTGGAGAGATCTTTCCAATTGTTGTAATTGACAAAAAAGGGCATGTGTTAGGGATCTCTTTTTGAGCCATCTTTTTTTATTATACATGTACATGTAAATTACTATCACCCATGTGGCCTTTGTATTTTTCACAGATCCAAGCTTCAAATCGATTTTTACCAAACATATCATCATCACAGTCATCATATCAACTGTATATGCCAGGGTTGTCTTTTACAACCTTCGCTATTCCGTATTGAAACAAATGACTATGGACTGATATCCAACTCCTTTACATTTCTAACAGATTCAAATAAGGAATCGATATTTTCGAACAAGTTTAAACAAACAAAATGGGCATATGCAAGAACTGTCTTAAAGGTCTTCGTTATCCGTTGTTAAAATAAAATAGTAAAATGTCACTAAATTCCATATTTTGTATCGATTTTCTAGGATTATTTTGAAATAATAAGGAAAGATGTAGAGCAAGGTCATGTATTAATACCTTCGTCATTCTGTTTATTTGGAAAAGACTGAATAGAAATTGACCTCTGTGTATTCACACTTGACAGCTTGTTTGCTTTACTATGAAAAGTAGAATATGGGACTGTACGGGCTATAGTACTATTGACTAATAACGGACTTATATCTATGGGAAATATTTAATTCTATTCACTGTCGTTCTGCTTTGAGGGTTGGTTAGGGTATTATTGCTTAATGAGAACTAAGTAAACTTATGATAGTAGAGGAGACAAGTTGTCTGATGATGTCTACTTGTCAAATTAACTCTTGTATAAAATAACAAATTTACTGTACGTATTGCTTAATTTAGGACAACGTTTCACTAGATTACACTGTCGTTCTGAGAGGTTGGTTGGGGTATAATAAACTTAATCACTAAATTACAATATTGTTTTACTGCATTAAGGAGTTGGCCGGAGTATTATTGCTTAATGAAAATTAAATAAACTTATGTCAAGTTGTCTGATGAAATCTTCATGTCAAATTTAGTCTTTTATTAATTGATATGAATATTTCATAATATTGAACACAGCGTTTCATCAAATTACACTGTCGTTCGAGAGGTTGACTCAGTGCTTAATGAGATATAATTCTAAAAATTAAAATAAAGTACGGTTCCAGTTGGCTGATTTCTACCTTTGCCTCGAAAGGCAGCAAATTACATCGCTACAATTGGGCTTTATTGTTTAGTACTTTTGGGTGTATCGTAGCCTATATTATAAACAATTTAAAATTGTATTAAATCAGTTTATATGATATACCACTCCTGCGTTTTATTGTACACAACGTTTCAACAATTTACATTATCATCATCAGTTTGTGTGATATACTACTTCTGGATTTGAAACAATGTTTCAACAATTTACATTGCCATCGTCAGTTTATATGATATACTACTCTTGGGTTTTATTGTACACAACGTTTCAACAATTTACATTGCCGTCGTCAGTTTATATAATATACTACTTCTGGGTTTTCTTGTACACAACGTTTCAACAATTTACATTGTCACCATCAGTTTATATGGTATACTACTTCTGCGTTTCATTGTACACAACGTTTCAACAATTTACATTGTCATCATCAGTTTATATGGTATACTACTTCTGAGTTTTATTGTACACAATGTTTCAACAATTTACATTGTCATCATCAGTTTATGTGATATACTACTTCTGGGTTTTCTTGTACACAACGTTTCAACAATTTACATTGTTACCATCAGTTTATATTGTATACTACTCCTCGGTTTATTTGTACACAACGTTTCAACAATTTACATTGTCACCATCAGTTTATATAGTATACTGCTCCTCGGTTTATTTGTACACAACGTTTCAACAATTTACATTGTCACCATCAGTTTATATTGTATACTACTCCTTGGTTTACATTTCCATTATTAGTTTATGAATGGTGTACTATTCTAGAGGTTTATATGTATACAACGTTTCTAAATAATCCCTTTGTATTTCAGAATAAAACATGAAGTTTGCAGTGCTTCATGGTCTGGTAGTCCTGGCGGCTTTTTGGTTGGTAACTGACGCCTACCTCCATTTCCAAAAGCAGATCCCGAATGGTGACTACATACCTCACCCCTGTAAACCAAACTTTGTATGGAAAGGGGTGGGTCATATTAACCAAGCAGGAGGCGGGGCCAGAAATCAGTTCGGCAAAGATTTCAACAGTGCTGGTAAAAAGGTGAGTGATATTACCATTCCACCACCATTGATCTAACGACCAGAAAGGTCATTCAATAAATGTAACCTTGCAATTTGCCTACTCTGATCAATCAGACTGCAAGTTGTGAACATGTTTTAATTGATTGCAGAAGTCTGTCATCGAAATTTTAATTACTACTAGACAAAGACTAGTTATCTATTTTGAATGGCTTACTCTCATTTTGACCAAGAAAAGATAGCTGACGTGAATTTCATTCATCTGAGTTCTTATTGCACCGAATTGGTCCCAAATGTACAGAAGGGACGCTAATTGAGAATTGGAATGGTGCAAATTGAAGCTATCACTGTTCCCTATACATATAAAAAAAACCCCCTAAAAATCCCTTTAACTCTGTGTCTGTCAGTGCCTTCATCATAGTAACTTTTCAATTAACCTTGCCTTAGATTAACAGGAAACAAGTATTAATTTCTCTATTTTCAGTGGACTACATCTCTCTGTAATATGGATTCCGACGGAGACGGAAAATCTAATGGACAAGAATTAGGAGATCCCAATTGTACGTGGAAGCCTGGAACGGTCCCAGACGAAGTGACAGGAATCACCCACCCTGGAGTGTGTGAGCCCTGGGGTAGCACACAGTGTCAGAATAAAAACGACTGGGTGTCTTGTGAGTCAGACGAGTTTAAATGCCCCGCTATCGAGGAAGAAGGTAGGCCTAGGTTGATTGAATTCTAGTTCCTTCAAATCATATTACGAGGGTTGATATAAAAGGTATCAGTCCTAGTCCTCGAATGCCCCTTCGAAAAATGG